GTTGGATTGTAACACGTGTTCACCATGATCCTTTTGATATGGCATTGGATGGTTGAAGAAGGGACGCGAATCTGAATTTCTTCAGAAGAATGCTCCACTTCTTCTACCCATTTGCTACTCATGATAGCAGTCAACCCCTTTATGGATTCCCTCAGGAATTCTTTGTCTAAAGGTTCAAGAGGGGTAACAAGAACTGGTGGCCTCTGTGGCATGAGTATTTCGAGGTGTCTCCGAAATCTTCGAAAAATTCATCCTCGAAATACAGAAGGTCCGAAGGTTGGAAACCTTCCTACGGATCTTTTGGTTCGGGCGAGGGCCTCTCTAAAGGTTCAGCCTTAGCAGAAGAGACTTCCTCATGGTTTAGCTTGGGGTCTACACGGAGGGGTTCTAGTGGGGGAGTGTTGTCTAGAATGAGGTCTAGGAGAGCTTCTCCTTCCGCTGGGGTTTTAGGGGTAAAAGAACCTTCGACAGCTATATCGAGCTGCAGGGCAGATTCCTTGTTAAGCCCTAACCAGAAATGCTATAAAAGCACATGGTTGGGAATAGACAAGTTTCGACCAGATCTCGTTAAAATTGAGAATCTATCCCAGGCTGCACCTATGGTTTCCTTCTATTTTTGTTGGAAGTTGAGGATCTCTTATCGTAGGGCAGCAATTCAGGATATAGGGAAGAAAGCGAGACAAAATATGTTCCTAAGTTCCTCCCAATCGCCAAGTACCCTCCCTACGTTATGGGCGTACCATTGTTTCGCCCTCTCTCCAAGTGAGAAAGGAAACAACTTCCACCGGAGTGTTTCTTTTGGCATGCCTAAAATGGTCAGGCAAGCACAGAGCTACTCAAACTCCCTTAGGTGATGGTAGGGGTTTGCATAATCTAGCCCTAAGAAGGTTTGTTCCCAAACCATGGCTATAAAGCCAGGGCGGTGCTCGTAACTAGAAGCTGTGATTGGATTCGATGATGGTGGTGGTTCTACGAACTCGCCCTTGGGAGCAGAAAGGTTTTGAATGGTAGGTTGCTCCATTGAAAAAGAATAAAAAGAAAGGTAAAAACAAAGGATACACGGGCGAACTAGGTTCGAAGACTAAAATGACAACCATCCCCCAACAACGACGCCAGAAAATGCTTGTTCGTGCTTCTTAGTGTAAGCAGAAAAGTCCACAAGCACACGGAAATACCATTGTGGCACTTCACCCGGTGGTATTTAGGGTATCATATTTCCACGAGGGACGGAGGTGTAAGTAGCCTCTTAACTAGTTCTCCTAGAAAGATAAGAAGACTAGCTTGGGTAGCAAGATTCTTCTAAGGATAGAATCCTTAAGCGAAGATAACTGTGATGTTATAATCTTGCCGGCCTATGGCTCTACACTGAACCCAAATGTGGGGGATTACAAGGGACGGACAAGGCTATCACCACCTGCTGCCTACCCCTCAACCGTGGGGAACGAGGCAAACAAAGATAACTTCTAACTTAGACACCACGTCTACACTATTAGTTACTACTCTAGCGTTGGCCAGGAACTTCTATCTCTATCAGGAGTCCTCTACTAGAGTATTCATCATGAGGACGAACGACAAACCCACAAGCTTATAACGAACAAAGATAACTTGCTTAAGAAATCAACACCGACGTTGAACACAAACTTCTTACTCCAAGTAGTAAGACGATCATAGAGGTACAAGTGTAGAGGGGGCCAACAAGTTTGGCTCTCCGTCCTCCTAGTGTACAAGGCTTGCCGAGTACAAGAAGTAGAGGGAGCCGCTACTCCGCTATTCCTCGAACTCTTTCCTCTCTCACTCCCTACACTAGTCTAGCTAGAAGCTAATAGAAATGTGCTTGCTCTTCTTCTTCTCCTCCAATGTGTATGATGATGATGAATGTGAAGAGGGGGTCTTCTTATATAGCTTTAGGAGGTCGGTGTTCTCAAGTATTTTAGGAAAGCACCCATGCAACTGACCTCCCTGTGCATTGAATGCACCACCTAAGGAAGGTGGGCTCGAGATGCGGCAAGGGGGGGTGCGGCCACACCCTGGGTGGCACCTCCCCACACCGCCTTCTCCAGGTGGGTTCTTGGGGGACTTGGGCCCCTACCACGCTGGTGCTTGGCCCGAATTCAGAGTTTAGATGAGCTGTCTTGTGTTCTTTTGGTCTAAATGCGCTTTACGGCTTGCCTGATTGCGTATTTTGATGTGTTTTCACATGTTGCCCTGCAAAACATATATATACCAAAACTCATGAAGAATGTTAGTTAAAAATCTCTAATTCTAAGTTTTGGTCTTGACATTTGTTTTATTTTGTCTAAATGTTGGCAGTTGAAATATGAGTTAAGCACCATCAACACCACACGAGCCCCTTGACCAACTCTCAGATCTGGTGCCATGTAGAAAGTAGGAGCAACTACTGGCCCTCCGTCATGGCCGACGCGAGTGTACCCACCACACGCCGCCATCGCCGCATAGACCTAACTGAAGGCCAGATCTATCCATAGTGGACTCTCTCCAACACCCCGCTGTGGCTGGGGTAGAGACACATAGGTCAGAACAGGTAGCCATTAGCATCGTCTTTATAAAATTCCTGAATACGGGACCACAACTACATAAGAGCAAAGATCTCGACCACCCTGGCCCCGCCTAGCACCAAATCTCTGCCAAACACAGCAAATGGCATGGTGGCAAGATTTGAATCCAAAAAGAACAAATTGTCGAAAATGGGCCCACAACTACACAACAACAAAGATCTCGACAACGCCAGCCCCGCCCAGTACCAAACCTTCGCTAAATACAACAAACGACACGACGACAAGATCCTAGGCCAAAAAGAACATCGAGAAATCCAACACGGAAAGAAAGATGAAAAGGGAACCACTAGAGGTGGATATGCACCTGTCAAGCAGACGAACAGACCGGAGCCGTAGAACTAGCAACATGATGCTTTTAACCAATGTTTTCTCTACCCAGGCGGTGAGACCGTTGGCAAGTGGTCCCAACACAGACGCACATATAGCCAGTCGACAGCGTCGTCCTTGCCCAAGGACGAACAACAGCGCCGGCATGAAGGGCCTACCTCCGGCCGCACCCAAGCAACACCCCGTCCCTGCTAGGCGGGCTAGGCACCAGGCAGACTGTCCCAGCAGTGGGTGTGGAGCCAACAGGCGAGCCTATCGTGAAGCATCTACCGTCTGCCCTGGCATCCGACGCCCAGCAGCACCTCGGACAGCACCCCATCCCCTCTAGGTGTGACACACAGTAGGTGAGCCCCACCATGCAGCAGACAACGGGTGGAGTAGCGGCGTGGCGCCCAAGCGGAGACAGTGGAGCCGTGCCCACCGCACCCACGTTCGGCGCCCAATAGGACCCCCGGCTGCACCATAGCCACTATGCGGCAGGCCAAGGGGCCGACAGCGTGCGTGCGTGGATCCGACACGGGGCTGCAGAGCATGGAGGGAGCACATGGGCTGCCGTAATAGGGCTCCACCAAGTGAGGAAGGTTTGCAAACCCATATCAATGCTAGCCCTTGGCGCCGGCGAGGAGACAGGCACTGAAAAAAAAAGTTTTCCAGTGACCAGACAATCATGTGGCTGGTGGCGAGCAGACCTTGGTGCTGGCGAGGAGACACAATGGAAAAACTAACATTTTCCAATGAGTGGACGCTCTCGTGGCTGGTGGCAAGGAGAGAAGAGCGATGTAAACGGGGCGACTTATCTAACTCCGTGATGACACATCACCGGGGAGACATCCACACACGGGCCACTACACTAGAGCTCGCGCTCCTGAGCCTAGATCCGTGCCACAACCCACGCCCAGGCCACTGGCATGCGCGGCCACCACCGCGCTAGGGCTGTGCCTTAGGCAGCCATGTTAGAGGCTGCCAGACCGGAGGCCCCATAGCTGCAGGTTACCGATGAGCGCGTGGGGAGGCATGGACACGGGGCCCCACATGGCTAGAGTGGGCGCAGGCCCTGCCAGAAGGCCATTGGCTGCCTACTCCCCAGCCAAGTTAAGGAGCGTGCCCTCTCTCTCCATCTCCTGCTCCTCCCCTTCCCTCATCGGCGCTGGGGACTAACGTCGATGTAGGCCTGCCTACTTGTTCTTCCTTGCTGGCAGAGGCTAGCACTGCCAGATCTGGCGGATCCGGTGCGTCCATGGCCAGATATGTTCCTCCTCACGTCGGAGGCCGCGCGCGGCCAGGCCTCCGGGGTCCGCTACGCCGCCGCGCTGGGGCGGCGCACGCCCAGGCCACCGCGCGCGGAGGCCGCGTATGCCCAGCCTATCGGGGTCCGAGCCGCCGCCGCCCTAGGGCCGCGCATGCCTAGGCCGCCACGCCGGAGGCCGCACACGCCTAGGCTGCCATGCTAGAGGTCGCGTACGCCCAGGCCGCCACACCAGAGGCCGCGCAGGCCCGGCCCAGGCTGCCACATCGAAGGCCACTGCGCCGTCATCGTCGCCGAGCTATCAGGGTTCCCGTGTTTCAGAGAAAGTGCCTGTTCGCGCTGGACTGGGCTAGTGGCGAGAGAGAGGGGCGAGACAGGTGAGACAGCGACGCGAGGAGAGAAGAGGACCGAGCGAATAAGGGCATAGACAAGAGGCAGACATCTTGGCCAAGGGTAATGACCATACAAGCGTGGGGCACCGATTGTGCATCGTCCAAACTCCATCCAAAGGCACAAAGTTTTTCACCGAAGTGGCCAGGGCAAGGCCGCGTCCAAGCCCGCACGTTTAAAGACGTTAAATATGCTTGGCCATGGTACTGACGGTAGTGATATGGTGACAGTGGCAATAACTATAGGGATCCCATAACTGAGTCTGTCTACTGTACACACGTGTGTTTTAACATAAGCCAACACATGGTTGCTGGCTGTATATAAAACTCACAGATTTTAACATAGAAAAAACCATGTGTTTTTGGACTAGTTAGCACATGATTGTTAGATGCCTAAGAAACACACGAATTGAAACACCGGAAAAAACGTGTGTTTTAAGAGAATGCAACACATAAATTCCATCAGGCAAGCATGGAGAATGCCCGTGCAGCATCTGCAGTTGGAAACAGAAGCTGCACATAACCAAGCAAAGCCAGATCAGCTAAAGCATCAAGATGAGAAAATGGAACTAACTGACAATGGTATTAACAAAGACCAAATTCAGTAGGAAAGAGCACTGACCTTTATCGGAGCATCAAAAGATTTAGCCACGCTGACCATAAATGGAGTGAAGAACACCCAGAAAATGTCATACACAAAGAATCCACCCTGGAAATGGAAAAAGGAAAAATGCGTTTAGATATCAATGTAATAAAAGAACAGAGAATGATTTAGTGGCACTATGTTGAAACAAACAGAAGAAATCAATTCAGTCAACAGTGATGAAATGGTTGTAAAAATTATTTTCAAAAATAGTGCAGTAAAAAATGCAAGGGCCCAGCCCAAATTACTCTAGAAATCAGAACTATTAATCTATTATACATCAGACAAAGGTTCGATATTTTAATATTCATGATTAATAACAGATTCATTACATATGCTAAGAACTAACATTACACATGCTAAGAACTACAATTGCAGTGCCCAATATCTGCAATTTACATTATCGGTGATTGCAATTGTGTAACCGAATTTTATATTTGTCTTGTTTTCATCGGCAGCAGGTAATAATAATAACAGAGTAATTTCAACTTCTGTAGTTAGCTAATACTACGAGTTTCCTCCCACTTACCTACCCCACCAAACAAAGAAACATAAATTAAACTATTACATTTCATCAGTGCAGGACTCAATCATCCTGTACTAGCAAATTTCTAAAATGTGTCGGGAAAAATCACAACTAACAAATTTTTTCTATAGGAAGATAAATATCTAGAAATCTAGCAGATCTATGACAAGCACTGAAGATAAATGTCTAAAATCTCTAACAGACTCCTACCAAGAATTAGTTAAATTATTATTGAGGGATGTAGCCTGAAATCTCTGAAACATGATAGTGAACTATATGTAAAGTGCAGGTTAGCTTTGCATACGGCAACAGAACTTAAACGACACAGCAACAGCAATATTGAAGGACACTTCTGCCTCTGCTATCAACTTTGAAGAGCTAAATACTGAGCATTGTCGTGCAAGTGCAGCTTCAGTAATGAAAGGGAGAAATGATTTTCCTCTAGCTATTAGAAAAGTACTAGTATTATTACTAATTTAACTATGGTGTGGGCTAGCACAAATTACAATAAACAAACAAAAAGTTGTGGCCTAGTAAGACATTACACAATTATAGAAAATGTGGAAAACAGACAAACTATGAATCCCAAACCGCTCAGTTCAACTATACCATGTACAACCCACTACACAAAACCCAGATAAAAAAGTTGGAAGGATTCTCGTGGAAGAATGATTTCCTTACTAATATTCAACCCCTGAAAGTAAAAAGGGACATATTGTATATCCTCAACACTAAAATTGCAGTGCTCAATAATTGCAATTTACAGCATTGCTGGTTGCAATTATTAAGTAACTGAATGTTTTATTTATTTTTTCGTGAATAGAATAGATTAAAAGGAACAGAGCACTGCGATTATTATGGACAAGAACAATAAATGCCACTAATCCATTAGTGGATAGGCCTGAGGAGATACTATATATTCAAAGCATCTATAGCAGTCTATTCACATGCCCGGGAGCATGCAGCAGCAGCAGAGCGCGGCCAAGCTGCAGATCAGACACACTGACAGAGAAGATTTTAGGATTTTGAGTAAATCAACACAAACAAAAAATAATGCATACAGGAGGGTAGAAGTTTACTAGAATTCTGTCAAGGTACTTCTCTCTAATCCGGTTAGCTACAGACTGCCTCTTCTCTGTAACAAAAGGTCTGACAGATCAAGGGTTTAGTTATATAACATGTTAACAGATTTCAAGATGTGTTAGCACAAATTACAAGAGATAATTTTTTCTATGAAAGGACAGAGACAAATGGTGTGTGTTGACACAAATCACAATTAACAAAGTTTAAGATGTGTTAGCACAAATCACAAGAGATAATTTTTTTTCTATGAAAGGACAAGGACAAAAACTTAGTGTGGGTAGGCACAAAACATAATTAACAGACGAACTACAACAACTTCAACACCACCAGTGAACTACAACAGCTATGGACAAGAAGAAGGTCCATGAACTTCAACAACTTCATATGTCAACTCGAAAAACAACAACCTCATCTGAAATTTTGCAACAGTCTTAGGTGTCCTGAAGAGGCCCTATAGAGACTGCAGGCAACTGAGCTAGTCAGCAACTACATTTTGTATTGATTTCTCATAATTTTCAAGCACATCTTCAAAGCCAACCAAAGTAACCGTGGCCTGGACAGACTTCTTTCCACTAAGCATGATTGCAGCAGATTTCTTCATCAACATGCTATCTACAGCCTATAAGATACACAATAATTGGTACGATGAACTTAGCCCAGCATGTATAGAGAGAATATACAATCCTAACAGATGCTAAAAATGAAAGAATTATTAAAAGAAAAATGCACTTACATAGACAGTCAAGCCCTTGTTTCTTTAAACGAAGAACCATCTCATTTTCTAGTGCACAAACTTGGTCCAGTATATAGATAACCTGGACAGCAACAAAGTAAACTCATGACTTTCAATAAGTGTAGGATCAGGAAAATGGTTGGTTCTTACACTGAAGCTGCAACCGCAACGTCAAACCCAAACTAATTATCGTGAGGTCAGATTAGCTGGAAAATATTCAAATTAAAAATGTGGAAATATATGTTGGGCCTCATATTAGTATTTTGGCACCACTACAAAGTTTTTACCCTACCAGCTTCACAAATGCATTCTAAAGACATAAACACACACTAATTCTCAAGCCGAATTAGATCTATTCCTTAAAGAGAAGACTTATATTAAAATAGAAATGAGATGCACCTTAAAAAATGTACTGTCTAGTGCTTACACTGAAACAAAAGACCCATTTCTAGTCCCAAATAGCCCATCCAGAAGAATATCGATGCCCTAAAGCAAGAACAATTGCATGCTCTAAGTTAACTAAAATAGTGACAAAGTTATTTATAAAGACCAGATATTACACATGTTACGCACCATAATTGCAGTAGTTGAAGTGTGCAATTTATTACTAATAAATGTGCAATCAAAAAAATTGTATAACTGCATCCATTTAGCACGAAAAACCTAACAGCACTATTTGGGATCTTAAAAGCTCACTATCACAAGGGGTTCAACTGCTACAACTCTGGAAAAAATTGGAATTCAAACATCAAAAAATGAGGATTAAATAAGATCTGTGGTAAGATATTGATAGGAGTAAGTCCATGATCACGGCACTAACATTACTGTGTTCCACCAATTAAGACAAAATAATTTGTTTTAATACATTGTTTAGTCAGAGAGAAAGAGAGGTGCCATTAGAGCTAAGTAAAAAATCAACAGGAAGGCCAGCATAAGGTAATATACATAATGTTATTTTCCCTGGCCAAGTGGCCATGGATGTTCAGGCCATTCTATAATGGAATGTATAAAGGTGTAAAAACCTAGATGATCCCCACATTTTATATAGAATAGAATAAGATGATCCTCGATATCAATATAAGTGTCAAGGTAACAACAACAGACTTACCTAAGGTGTTCCAATGTGCTCTCTCCCACATAAGCAACAGCTGCAAAGTACATCACAACATCAAATGCATTTTCAGCAAATATCTTGTTGACCTGGGAGCTAGTTAAGTGAAAAGAAGACTTTGGATGTAACTCTCCATAAGCAGAAAAGGCACAAGCAAAGCAGCTTTAGAAGCATAAATGAGGATACAGATTTTTGGTCCCCCAGATCAGCAAAGATGAATTGTAGTCTCCCAGGCTACGGAAATAAGCCCTGCAGAACCTTTACTGCTCCCATGTTTCCTCTAGATAGATTATCCTACAAGATGAACCAAACTGTGCATCAGCAGAACGCTTAAATAACAATTAGTTCACACATTTAGTACAAAGAAAAACTTGATTACCACAATGGTAACTCGATAGTTATCCTTTAACAGCCTTAAAGCGGCATGTGAACCAATATAACCAGCTCCTCCTGTAACTAAGACATGGGTAACCCCAAGTTCATGGCGAGAAAACTGCAGGAATATACACACCACAGTCAGCTTTAAAGTTGGGAATCGGAGTACTATCAAATTCATCTAAGTTTTGTATACAAAGCACAAATCAGCATTAATTATCTAGATTGCTTGGGTGCCATGAAACAAAACACCAACTCTAGGCAGATAGCCAGATAGCTAAAATTGTCATGATGTCACTTAGGCCTTAACTGCCACAACCAAGCAGTGGCAACAAACACATGCATGAAAGATCAAGTTGGAACATGGCCTAGGGTAAAAGGAACCGCAATAACAAAGACTATCAGCTGGAGGGATGTCACTTTCGATCTTTCATCATCTGCTCGCTAGCACCACCACAAGAAGGTACAGAGATATGTGAGGGAAACGAGTAGGATGGTGCTCTTCACTTTTGTTTTCTCATTACCCAAGTGCGTATTCCATGACAAGATACCAGACAAGCTTTGCTGCATGTTCTAAAACTTCTTCAAACTAACATATCTAGTTGATGAAGTGCATTGCAAGAAAACAAAAGGAGGGGGAGTCTCAGAAGAGGTTATAAAGTTACTACCTACAGGAACATTAATTGATTTGTAATTTATGATATGAAACATGAGTAAAAGGTGGGTTGGAAAAGTTTATTGAAAGGAATATGATAGGATGGAAAAGTCTTACCACGCTATTGCCACCGAAACCATGAGATTGCTTCAGAACAAATATACAGAGTGTTGTGAGGACCAGGGCTGCAATGATTTTCCCAACATTATGAGGCTTCTGCCTTGCATCAAAGTACTCCATCCCTGTCAACAAGAGAAACATACAAAGGGACCAGTCATACATTCAATCATTACAAATGAAGCACACTTATGATCAGATAGATAGATAGATAAATACCCAAATAACCCTACTATTACTTATAATATGCAGCATAAGTATACTCTAGCATTGACTTGGAATGTGATCTTAGCAAAGTGGCTGCTCTTTGCTTACAAATATATCTAAAAAATCTAAATAAAGAGTTATACACATCCACCTAACTTCGATTGAAATATTGCACCTAATAGCTTTAGCTCCACTTGCCTGTCTTTCTAGCAACTGAAATCTTAATGTGCACATAACAAGTATTACTTTAGGCAGAAGAAACACATCATTTGGATCACAGAAAGGAACTTTTGCTCAGAAACATTCAACAAAGGAAAATACTGTCAAAAAATATACTAGTTGCCATACAGAATCACAGTTCCACTCATAGAAGTGCTTAAATAGCACCTTTGAAAGCTAGCATGTGCTTTGTACACCAAGTGAATCCCATTGTAAGGCAAAAAAAGGATAGCTTTCGAGTGGAGCACTAAAATATATTCAGTTTCCTTCATGGGGGAAATGCATTAGATGGTCTAACTAAACATAAACAAAGCCAGTGGTGGTGGGCACACATGCTTAAGGGACCATGGGGGTTAAGAGTTCATATCACTAGTCACTAGTATATCTAAAGCAACAGTAATAACCGAGAAAGGGGTATCGAGATCTACCAGCCCTGGGCAGGCTTGCCCTCTGGTTTAAAGGGATCATGAAAGAATTTTGCTCCTTGAGATGAGGCTACCAATGGTAGAACCCCTACTCACCACGATCAACGTGATTTTCTAGCTAGAAGATCAACTGCAGAACCATCACATGGTATACATCAATTGTACTGGTACAGAATCATTCCATCTCAACGAAATGCAACAAGGATCAACGACGGGATAGGCAAAACAGGTCACAGAGAAAGATTACAATTCAAACCATAAGCAGCAATACCGGATTTGTCTCAGGTGGACCACACGATAATGTTCGCAAAAACTTGAAGTTAGCAGGTATCATATGTATACGTATATTGGGGTCAGATCCGAAACAAATAGCTTACATTAGAGTTCAGGGTGCTCGGCTTCCCACAGTAGGAAGGGGACAGAACGAGGCGGGCGTACCTAGTGGATGCTCGTCGCAGGTGAAGACCTGGCGAAGGGCGGCGGCACCCGCCTATTCATCGCCGAAGGAAACAGATGAGAGAGAGATGGGGGAGGAACAGATCAACGCGAGAAAGAAAAAGGAACGAGTGTACGTGCTCTTCTAGGCCGTTTAGATTTTGGGAAAAGCACAATAGATTTCTGTGCAGCGCGGGGGACGGACTGGGCAGAGAGCGCCGCCGGGATCCGGCGGATTCCATCGGTGCAGCCCGGGGGGACGGCCTGGGCAGAGAGTGCCGACATGATCCGGGGGATTCCGCCATTGCAGCCCGAGGGGACAGCCTGGGCAGAGAGTGCCGACATGATCCGGGCCATTCCACCGGTGGAGGCCGGGGTCCGGGGGCTGGAACGGTGCCGGGGTCCGGGGGCTTCCGCCGGTGGAGGCAGGCGAGGGCTGGGACAGCATTCCTGCGAGCGGCGGAGTCACGGCGCGGCGCCGCGGGGCAAGAAAGAGCACGGCAGCGACGTACTCTCAGTAGGACGCTCATCGGAGACGGCTGGGAAAACAACATTAAGAAGAAAGGGGACAAACCAAAACGCACTAGAGATCACCGGTCGGCCCTAGCATCCATGGAAGACATGAAGAGAGCGGAGAGAACTTAGCTCGACGAACCCTAGAAATCGCCGGTCGGCCGCCGAGAGCGGCGCGTTGCCTGGAGTCACCTGGAAGAAGCCAAAACAAAATGGAAATGGAGGACGGACGCCGCTGACTCGGGCGCGACTCCCAAAAAATCAAAACTAGCGCCGACATCTAGGTGCACAGTGTAACAACCCGGGTTTTTAGAGAAGCCAAAAATACGAACTTTTTAAAAATTTTCCTTCAATGTGTGAAACATGTAATTGCTAGGTCAAACACGAGTCCAACTTGCTAACAAGACATTGCATACATGTAGATGGTTTGTAGGTGATTGCCGAAGTTTTCGAGTTGTCCTGTGATTGAGTCTTGATTATTGTTGGAGAGCACAACCCATAGCAACCTCCTTGTGATCCTCGCGGGATTATTTCGAGTCTTCCGTGAATCTCTCTCTATAATCCCAAACCCCACTAGATCCCAGACTTGCCATTTATATTTGTGCCGACCATTGGACCGGAATCCCTAAACCCTAAGACCCCTAGAAGACCACCACGATGAGTAAGCATGTTGTTAATACATGCGGGTACGCACATATAAGACCTAGGGGTAGGAGAACAAAGGAAAAGACACTCTCCTCTAGTCGCTAGTGGAAATCATCTCGAGCCCCTCTTGGAGCTCACATCTCGAGTACCATCAATACCCCTCTTGAAATTCCTATTCAAACTCCATGCAGATTCCCTCGAATTTCCCCTCAAATTCCCCCTTCGAGTCTTTCCGAATATCCCCTGGAAAATTCCCATCCGAACACTCATGGAAATTTTGTCTTGAGTTTATATGAATCCCTCCGAAAGATTCCTCGAACACCGCCTTATATTTCACCTTGGAAACCCTTCCCAAGATGTGGTGAATTCTTCTCAAATCCAAGTTCAAACCATTTAGACATAAATTGGAAAATCTATTCCCTTCTCTCTTCTCTCCCCTCATGCCTTGGCCTGGCCTACCGTTTCATTCCCCTTCTCCCTGCACCGGCCCAGCCAGCAGTAGGAGCCCAACCGAGCCCCCCTCTCTCCTTGCCAAGCCGTGGCCCAGCCTGCCCTCGCTCCTCTCTTCGGCCTGCCCCACCAGCGCCTTGGCCCAACCAGCACGGCAGCCCGTGGCCTGTTGGCCCAGCCATGCGGCCCACCAGTGCTTGCCCAGCAGCCGCAAGCTGCCCAACCCCAAGCCCTAGCGGGAGCAGATGCTCCCAGCAGCCGCCACCGTGCCACAAAGGCAAACCGGGAGCCGCCTCTGCACCAGCGCCCTCACCTGCTCCCTCTCGGCGTCCGTGCCGTTTGATGCGCACCGCGTGCCCCTTCTCCGCACGGAAGCCGAGGATCGCCGTCCACAGCGCCTAGAGCCCTAGCTAGCGCGCTATAAGTACCCCCGACGCTGCCCGCTCTGGAGCTTCCCCCTGTAGCCGCCGCCACTCCATCCCTCTCCCTCCCTCCTTGCTCCACCCTAACCTGCTACACAGCCACGACGGTCAGCCGTCGCTGGCCATGGCCTGCCACTACCTCGCCGGAGCCCCTGGCCATGGCGACGCCAACCAAGATCCCTCTGCACGCCCCCACGACATCGCCCGCGCGTGCTACTTTCCCCGGGCAGCTGTTCCCAGAATCGTGGCCATAGCGCCGACCACAACGCCGCCTGAACCAGCGACGCCAACACCCTCTCCACGGACCAAGCCTCGAGCCATCACCACCCTTCCCCAACACCATGCTCCTCCTCTGCTGCATGACCGCGTGCCCCGCCCCCGAGCCACGCCAACAGCACGATGCCCGCGAGCCGCTCGACCACGACGTCAACGACCTCGCGCTGAACCACGATGACGTCCATGTCCTCACCGCAGGCCGCCGCGAGCTCATGCTCCGCCCTCTTTGCCAAACAGAGGACCCCGACCACACCGTCATACAATCGCCTCCTCAAGGAGCCACCTCGTCACCAAGCACGGGCACGTCCATGATGCTGGCGGCCATGACGACGAAGGCCACACCGCCAAGCCCGTGACCAGCGCCATGAGCCCCGATGCCACCAAGCCATCGTGGCCACCGGAGACAAAGATGAAGCATGCCTTCTTCTCCGTTGCTGTTCGGCACGGCGCTGCGTCAACTCGACACGGCACCGAATCGCCACCGCACCACCAGCCTAACCTCACCGGCACCTCTGGTGAGCTTCCCCAGCCTCCTCCCATGTCCGCAGTGCACGGAGTCGCCATGCTCGTGCTGCCACGTTCCCCACACCAGGGGAGACGCGAGGCCAAGCCCTCGGTACCACCATGTCCCACACACGTCGTGGCTTCCACTTCACCTAGCCACCGCACGAACACAGCTCATGAAGGCATGGATGCGAGCACTGGCCGGTCATGCTCGCCGCTGCTAGCCCACCGCACACGCACCGCACGGCCCCTGCCTTGCCAAGGCCACACCGCCCCTGCCTTCACCGGTCAAGGCTCCACCTCGCCTCGACGTCACACCGCTGGCGGACCTCGTCGTGACCCTGCACGATGCCACGATGCAGTGCCAGCTGCAGCACCGCGACATCTCCACACCACCATGGGGCCTCTGATCCCTCCGTCGCGCTCACAGCCCTGACCTTGGCCTGGACACATGCACGCACAGGCGTTCTTCACCTTAGTCGACCCAAGGCCTTGCCCTCACAGTCATGGCTATCGCCTACAGCCCTTAGCCACTGGTCGTAGAATGCCGTGGATGCCACGCTCCTTATACCCGCATGAGCCTAGAGCCTCCCGGCTGCACAACCCTGCACGCACACTAGCAACCATGGCCACCGCTTGGACGCACACGCACGTTGCCCTGCGCACCTCCGCCCGAGCAGCCCAGCCCCAGACCCCGCCTTGCTGAGTGGCTTGCGGGAAAGCACCAAGGCCAGCCGGGCCAATGCCCAACACCAGCTCCCTCTCTTCTCTCTTGGGCCGACGGCAGCAGCTGCAACATTGGCCCAGTGGTCCTGTGTTGGCCCTCTCTCTCATCCTTGCAGTTTGGGCCGACAAACAGGCCGGCCTGCCTTTCCTTCTTTGCGTAAGCCAAGCCCGGCAGCAGCCCAGTGATGGCCCAGCAGAAACCTTGGCCCCCTTTTCTTTTTCAGGAATGGATTTAAACTCCAAAATTCATACGTTGTCAAAAAATCGAGCCCTATGATGTGGACCAACCCTTAAGTACTTT